ATGAAAGCATTATATATTGACTTGCATGATTTGCTATGATGCTAGTAATTTTCTATTCATTTACTGCAGCATCACCAAAAAGAGTATTGTATTTAAAAGCAGAACTGCTGGTACTGTATTATTTAGAACAGTACTCCCCAAAGTGAAATGACTACAGAGAGCTACTGCAGCTAGACATGTTTCAGTTCTGTTGCCTTGAAATATACGGGGTCAACATGTATTCATTTGCAAACGCATCTTTACTTCTGCAGCAATAGAAGGCAGGTCATCTGTGTAAAATGATACCAGTTGCTGCAGAAATGCCCTGCCAGCTACAAGAAATCAGAGCTTTGTGATATCTTCTGCAGTAACTCTACCAGTTATCAAAATTTCCTGACCCAAGGCAAAAAGGACATTTTAAAATTAAATATGTAGCTGAAGTAAAACATGAAGTAGTAATGTGCATGCCATGCTGACTCTTCTTTTTATTAACGGTGGAACTGTGCACTGCTTGCTCTTTAGGATCTGTTTGTGCTACCTTCAATTACTGAGAGCTACTCAGATCTGGCTCCAGTGTTATTGTTTGTATTGCACAGAAACATGAATCAAGTCTGTCAGCTTTTTGATGCATACATGCCAAGTCATTGTAAGTACTCATCAGAACCTCTCTGTGTTTTCTACCAATGAAGACAGAACAATTTTTGCCCCTTTGTTTTTATTCCTCTCTGTGGAAGTGAAGTTTATCTGTCAGCTGGAAAAAAAGCAATCTTTTCAGGTGTTGTTCATAATTACAGATTTTCAGATTTGTTTACATTTTATATTTTCACTTCAGGACTTAATGTCTCAAAAAGCATGAAGTAAACAGTAGATCTAACATTGCTTTCTTATATTTTCTTACTTTGACAGTTACCCTGTAAACTACCTTTACTTGTAAGGGATCAGACCTAGCAGTAGCCCTTCAAGAAAGCAGAAGTTTGGACAGGCAGACATTTACTGAATTCCAAAATATAGTTAAATACAAGCTAATCTCTTTATGGACAAATATTAAGCTGACATTGTCAGTTTAATTTATCAAGGGAATAAAAGTGCTGTTGCCTCAGGGCTTGAGGAAAAGGTATTTTGAGTTTTGGTCATTATGCCTGGCATAATAGTCTCTCTCTCTTTTTTTTTTTTTAATCAATTCTATAGTCTTAAAAACAAAACAAAAGAAAACAACAAACAAACAAACAAACAAACAAACAAAAAACCAGCAGAAAAAAAATACCAAGAAACCCATACACTTTAATTTAGATTATCTGTAATGGCCAAAATCTCAAAGACAAGATAAATCTATAGTTAAATTCCATTATAGAGAATTAGGAGGTCTTTGTTTCTCTATCTGCTGTTGTTAATCTGTCAGCTTTCATTAGACCCACAGGTTTGGTTCTGCACTCCTTAAAGCTCAGAGCATGTGCCACGTCAATGTCAGAATTGGAAGCGCTGCTGTGATGTTCTGTCCCTGCTGACAAGAAGCTTGGTGTAGTATCTGCCTGAAGAACTCCAGCCATCGAAGCACACTGCCTAGGGAGATGTCAGGAGATTTACTACTTCTATTGTAGAGCCTTTGATGAAGCAGTGTCCTTTTTATATTTACATGTCCTCTTAGATTTGTGGAGGCTAGGACATCAACTTTGTTTTCTTCCTCTCTTCTGTACCTAGGTCGTTATTCCAGATGGAAGGAATGAAGCATAGGAGCTTTCTAGCTGAACCAAAATCCTTTAAATATTTTTGAATGATGAAAATTGTAAATAGGGAGAGGGAACTTCATACCAACTGCATTTGCGGACTACCAAATGCACTGTAATTCCCCAGCCTTTTAAATAAATGCTATTCATATGCATTGCAAAGCCTGCAGGGGGAGGAACTAAGCATACCAACATTTGAAGCTCAGTACTCAGGAGGCTGGATACCATTCAGGCTGTGATTTCTGAATCCAAGTCTGAATAAAACACAAGCATTTTTCCCAAATTCTGGAAACACAAGACTGCACACCTTAAATCTCATGTATGTAGTTTGCCTGATTAGTGCTTTCAGAGTATTAGTAAAACTTTGTAAGGGCAAACAGATGTGAAAACTAGAGTATATGAAATATCAGTGATTATGTTATATGTGCATCTGAGAATTGTACTTTATTCAAGTCAGGATCTAATCCAGCTCCCATTAAGTCAGTGGGAATGTTGCCAATGAAAACAATATTAACAGGATCTGGCCAAAATAATTTAATCCACCCTCTTCAGCTGCTGTGCTCACAGCAAGAACGTTGCCATTAAGAAGTTTATATGGACATAAATATTCACTTTAATTTCCTAGACTTTCCTATATCTACTTGCATAAAATTGCATTTGTGATTAAAAAAAGAACATGGCTGCATTTTAATCACTATAGGTTCAGGAATAGATAGAAAAAAAAAAAAAAAAGTTCAAATATTTTGTACAGATTAGATTGTGATCCTGAATTAACAATTCATGTTAGAGTTTTTTATTTCTTCTTCTTTCTCTGCTGACTTATCTTTCTCCAGGCTAATATGTGAGGGTGAATATGATGGGTTTGAGTTTTCTTCTACTGCAATTGCATTCTGTAAAATTGTCACAATGCATGTTGTATCACTGAGTTGCATTTCACCTCAATTGCAATTTATTCCAAGAGGAAGAAGGGTTTAGGGGTGTACCATGCAAAGTCTATGACCAACAGGTTGCTACAAAGCAGCCTATTCAGAGGATGTAAGACATCAAGACATTGACAAGGGCAAGTCTTTACCACCTGAAGAGTTTTTGAAAACAGTCTCAAAGGTTTACAAAATCAGATCCTGCTTGTCAGTGCTGCTAGTTGTCATTAGGAGTTGCCCTCATAGCAAATTGCTCAGATTTACCTCTTTGGCTTCCTTGGGGAGGAAGAAGTGCCCTCCTTGGAGACCTGGTGCCTTCTACTCTCTTCACAGAAGCAAACCAGACAGTGGCTGTCATTTAAAAGTAACGACATGTTCAGTAATACCTGATGTTTACCATGGTTATTTCAGCTGTAGCTAACTTTGGAGGGGAGGACAACCATATCTTCCATGATTCCCCTGCCTTTCTTACAGGTTTCTGTTCACTTTTTTTTTTTCTGATGTCCCACAACCTTATGATATCATCCTATCCATCTTGTTATCAAAGTTAAAAAGTCATTAAATCCTCAGCGACTGTCCTCATTCCTGTTTCCCCTCTCTTTCTGAATCTTTGGAAATCTTTGGAGGCTAAAATAAGGAGAAGTTGTAATATGCATTTGTATTAACGCCATATTAACATCAGAACAATATCTAGAGTTCTGATCCTTATAAGGTTTTTTTGAATGTTTTTCTCTGTGCTTAAAACTATTTCTCAGTGAAGCCTAGGCCAGGCAGAGGGCAATTCAGGAGACAGTAATTCCCCTTCACAGTGGTAATGAAGTGTGCACAGATTTTGGTTGCCATTGAAAAATTGTGTATCTAGACTCAACCTCCTCACATTCCAGTCTTTAAGTTTACTTTTTGATTTTCTTTATGTTCCTTTCTTTTGATAGGGACTTGCTAGTGGTTTCCAAATCCAAACCCTTGTAGTTTCTTCTGTTTTCCTGATATTTGTGCAGATTTTCATTTAGTGTCTCACTTCTGCTTTCCTCTCATCACTTAGCCTTGGCTTTTACTATCAATGTACTATAGGGTAGAGATATGTGCACTAGCTATTTTGTTTGGGTTTTTTTCTCATTTCTTTGGTTTTCCATTTGTTTGCTTTTTAAACTTATAATATTAAACTACAGAGACAGTTAACCAGGAAATATTTGGATCATTTTGCAGTGGCTACCTGAATCCTATTAATGAATAGTGAAGGTTACAAATTTCTCATACTCTCTCCTAAAAATATTTGGAAGGATTTTATATGTGTCTCTGCAAAATCATTTAATTCTGTATTCCAACTATCTGGTTATAAAGTTAATATTACAAGGAGTGCTCTGAAAGTAATGCCTCCAATTTTATTTATTTATTTTAATTTTAATTATTATTTTATTTATTATATATCAGAGGTGGATGATAGTGGCATGGCATCAATGTTGAACCTTCCCACCACTATTCCATTACATTTTGTTGTTATGTGACAAATAGCAGCAGAGGGGCAGTCTCACAAATGGCGTCTGACATGGAAGTGCAGATGAAGCAAAGATGTGGAATTGAATTCCTCCATGAGAAAAAAATGGCACTCATCAATGCTTGCAGAACTTTTATAGAGACCAACAGTTGATGTAAGAAAGTGAGGTGGTGGATGGTGCACTTCAGCAGTGGCCACAACAGTGTGAAAGACAAGTCACATTCCAGATGACCATGCAGATTTTTACTAGCATGGCATGCAGGCTTTTGTTCAATGCTGGCAAAAATGCAAAGCTAATGATGGGGACTATATTGGAAAACAGTGTTTTGTAGCTGAGAATTTGCTCTGTCAAATAGTGTTATTGTGCTCTATGTATCTGTTGTAATTTCCATGGAAATAAATAAGAGGTATTATTTTTGGAGCGACCTACATATATTAGATTTGGTTTCTTAAAAAGAGACAGTGAAATTCAATGGATTGCATTAAAATCCTGAATAGGAAATGAGATAAAAACATTCCCCCTGGATATAATGAGTTATTAGTTCTATGACAGAACATTATTTTCTACTTATATTTAGTGAATTATTCATTACAAAGAGATTAGTTGAAGAAATGACTAAAAAAGAAACAAAATCTCTCAACATATAGTTGCTTGATTTTTATTTTATTTTTGATTACCTAACCTATTGAGAGAATCAATGAATCTTTATTGTATTCCTTAATGGCATGGAAACACATTATAACAGCACAGTAGCTTATTTATAGCTATATAAAGTTGAATTACTTTTAATGAGACAGTTGCATACAATTATTGCAATCACACTGAAATGGAACTGCTACCTCAGCACGTTTTTGAGTAACTCAAAGGATTTCATTTTGCAGCTGGTGGAAAAAGTAAACTTCGTCTGACCTGCTCTCCTGAATGCAATGCATGCACTGTGTGCACTACCACTGTTTCTGGAAGGAGGGTGCTCATGCCGTTCCACTTTAAGCTGTAAACACCAATTCCTCTGAGAAGTCCAACACTTGGTGCAAAACATGAGTAAGTAATGTTTTCATGGATGTCAGCTCTCACAGTAAGTCTGTTTTCTGTTTCAATTAATATTTTGCATAAATCAGTGTCTCAGTAAAATAAGCAATACCAGACTGAAAAGAACACAAGACAACTGTAATTAAGCCACATGTTTAGTAATGTGCAGAACAAACAATGGAAAAAATTACTCTCTGGTTAGTAAATCAATTGTAATCAACCTCATTCCGCCCACTCATCCACCTCTATGAGGGGATAATACAGCTGTAGATATCAGGAACAAATCCAGCAACTAAATTAATAAAACAAAATTGGTGGTTCAGCTACACGTGTTGGCATGAATGTATTACTCCCTAAAGCTTTATCTCTACAAACATCTTTTTGTTCCCAGAGGGCACTTAAAAATACATACTATACAAAGAAGTATAAAAAATCATGCAGCCTTATAATTACTACATCTTTTAAGAGTTTCTCTGCCTGTTGCCAAAGAATTTGAAATATGATGGATTACCATTAACAAACTGACTCCAACAGTCATATATAACCTATGGGCTCATACTACTTTAATCTATATTGAATGAATACGGCTTTAGGAATATCTGGAGTCATGTTTTCGGGCAGCTTGTTAAGTTCAAAATAGTTAAAGAAGAGAGAGCTCAGTGGTACAGTGACTACCACCAAATGGTATAGGCTAACAAGTCAATGTGAATCTGCCACTTTGATGTAAATACAAGATGGTACAGGCTCATCATTCATCAAACCCTTCCTAATAGATGTAGCAGAAGAAAGGCATTTCCTGCCTACCAAAGTGAAGGGGAAGATGCAAAGGAGGAGATATATCATGTTCTGTAGCCTGAAGACAAAAATTACATACACGTTAGCTAATGTGGAAGGCTTGGCAACTGGTTATGGCTGCTGGCTGTTTTGGTGTGGTTCTCTCTTGTTCTTGCCACAAGAGATTGGTACAAATAAGTCAGAAAAAAAAAAAAAAAAGTGTTTACAATAAGGAGCAAGGCAGCATCCTTTCTGCAGGAGAATTATGATGTTGCTTAGGGTACTGATACTCATGCACACATGGCAATTCTGCTGTGCCTGTCCAGAAGGCTGTCTGAACAGAACTGGGCTGAACCCTGATGTTAATTTTGAAATGTGTTGTAACACACAGATGTTGGTGGAGAATATGCATGAGATTTTATAACCCTTGCTAATTATCATGAGGGAAAGATGGTTGAGTTATCAATGACTACATTTAGTTATCTGTCAGTACAGTATTCATGTATGGAATAAACTTCAGGAATTCATCTTGGGTTAAAAAAAAAAGCAAAAAAAACACACACAAAGAAAGTTTGTTTAATGATTTTATCTTACTGGCCTTCAGCTACTGCAACCTGTTCAAAAACCAAAGTACCATTTTAAAAATAAACTCAAAGTGTAGGAGATGAATTATGGGCATGGAAGACAAAGAAAGAAAAACAGAAGTTTGTAATTCCTGGATTGAAATTCCCTGCAAATGTTCTTCAATATAGGAAGATTCAGATCCCCAGATCCCATTCCTAAAGAGAAGATGAAACCAGATTATTTTTCTGTATTTCCTATGTAAGATTTCACTAATCAGCATTTCCTGGATAAATGAATGCCAGCTAAATATCAATTTTTGCAGGCTTCCAGCAGATTAGAGATGAGGAAATCCAGTAAATACTTTCCACCATACACACAGGCACATATAATGCATTACTAAAATAGTAATTCTTCCTGTACAAAAAAAGCTTTATAGCTTTACCTGCAGCTTATAAATATTAATGAAATAATTGTTTGGTAGATCCTTGTGAACTTAGATATCTAGAAAACATCTAATTATTACAAAGTAAAACCAAGAACTTGAAGGAATTTTTAAAAGCCGTTTGAGGTTTAAGTCACATCAGTGCCTTGTTGTTTTTGAAAATCTTGAATGCTTATTTTATGTTGAAATCACTTTTTAAAACTTCCATTAATAATGCATTGACCAAAACCATGAAAATGAGTGAGAGGCAAAATGAAAAGTTAGAAATGGAAGTCCTTAATTTCATTTTTTAGATCATTCTGTCTTATTAAAAAAAAAAAAACAAACACCTGTGTATGAACTGGACTGTTTGTTTTTTTTTCTTGATTCAAAAGATGCATAAGACTTGCTCATCTGTCTTGAAGTGCTAGTATGTTAAGCTTTGATAGTGGCCTTTCATTATCTAAAGGGGGGCCATAAGAAGAAAGGGATTCAGCAGGATTTGCTGTGACAGGACAAGGAGACATGGTTTCAAACTAAAGGAGGGGAGACTAAAATTGGCTATAAGGAAGTTTTTTACAATAAGGTACTGGCACAGGTTGCCCGGAGAGGTGGTGGATGCCCCATCCCTGGTAACTTAAGGTCAGTCTGGACTAGGTTCTGAGCACCTTGTTCTGTTCATTACAGGAGAGTTGGATTAGCTGATCTTTAAGGGTCCCTTCTAACTTAAATGATTCTGTGATTCTATGATGCCACAAGATTTGTGGATGAATGTCCACCAGGCATGGTCTTTAGTGGACCTTGTGATCATGTGCATCTAACTTATCTAACTTAGTTTACTGACAGTACAGCTTGTGCTCCCACATATCAGGGTTTGAGCATTGGGTTTGGTGGTGGAGGCTACAGTAATAGCTAGACAAAGAAAACTGTAGAGAAAACATAGTGTGGAAATACTGTCAGTGGGCCTTTCTGGCTGTGAGGCAGATCTTGAGAGGGAAATGGAACAGGGCAGGTGCTCTACAACCCCATTTATTTCTTTCAGTGCTGTTATTTTATAACGTGGTTGGAATATTCTCTAATGTGCAAATAATCTTGGGACTGGAATGCAAAGCAAATGTAGAATTGTTCTTCCAGGAAAGGAATTGGATGCAGCAATGTAGATGCTGCTGTACTAAGCAGAGCCTATCAGAAGCACCTGATGAAGACATCCTTCTGTATTACATAGGCATTACAGGCAAAAGGCTCATAAGCCCAAATATTCTCACCAAACCTGAAGTCATTGCAAAGTGTGTATTAGACTGCTGCTGCTGCTTGCATTTCACCTTTTGTTTTTTGCTGGCTAAATGTAGAGTCTGTGAAATAAGTATCATTACCATGGGAAATAAATCCTGGTGAACTTATGTCTACAGACTTACCGCATGGCAACTTGTTTGAGTTAGTGAAAATGGTCACATTTGGTTTGGTGTCTTTAGCTGGCAAGAGGCTGAATGTACTGCTAGCAATAGCTTACTGTTACATTTACAAAGCACTGCCAAGAAGAATTCATATGCAGTTGAAGGAAAGGAGTTTGAGTGGAATGTGAGTCAGACCCTGAGTCAGCTGTCCTCCAAACAGCCAAAAGCTGCTTTATACTGTGTCACTGCCAGTATGTGAGAGGCTCATGCCACTCCAAAAAGACACCAATTTCTGCTAGGGAAGGGGATTCTGGAGCAGCTGTTGCTCTGGCCTTATGCTCTCTCACACCTTATGCTCTAGCACCCTGCTAGCAGGTGTGTATAGACACTAAGCCACTGACACAGTTCTTGGCTTACACAATCTGTGGTTCAACCCATTTAAAACCTTTGAGTCTTATGGTGGAGTAAGAGATACCCAGGGAGTATTTGAGTCCTCCCCAGCTGGACTGGCAAGCTGAGTTTGCAGAGGTATCAGCCAGTTCCTAGGAGCAGAAGCACCATGCTACTGAAATCACGCAGCTCTCAGTGGCCTTACAGTGTGATTATCTGCATTTTAAGTAGAGAGAATCAAACAGAAGTAAAGGATAAAGAGAACAAACGTCTTCATCAAGATTTATAACATGTCAAAACCCAGAAGAAAAAATTGCAGTAATGATCTAGTAGATGAAAATCAGTTGCTTTGCATTACTAACGGACAGTTTATGTTACAGAGCCACTATCCCATATTACACAATATACATACTTCATATAATGTCCTCCCTATCTCAAGTGGATAAATAACATTAGCACAAAGCCAAGATGATTCATGGCAAGAACAAATCTCTCTATTACTCTTCTTCCAACTAAGTTTTTAAAGTATTTCTATTGCATATGAACTACTTCATTGGCCAAGCTAATTCTTGGAGTAACTCCCTTGGCTCTGGGAGAAGTGCTCCAAAGATGATTTTGTAGCTGTATGCTACATTATGTCGTACATTGAATAGATGGATGTTATAAAAGAAAGTACTTGTGCTAAAAGGCAATGACATCATTCTATCACTCCAGAGCAAGTGGATTGCTAGCTTCCCTTACAGTTATCTCCATCAAAGACCAATCATTTATCTTTTTCTGTTCCTACTCTAAAGCAATTAGCTCCTTAAAAACTATTTTTCTGTTCATCCAGAGAATGATTCTACTTCTGCTTATGTTTTTAGTGTTATTAGAAGCTAATATGACTTATTCAGGTGTTCAGATAGAAGTGTACCATTGTACTTGCAGTGCCTGTCACCTTGCAGTTGAAGATCTCAGTGTTTATTACCAATCTTGTGCCTTGTAACACTCAGAAGGTAAACTGAAGGTAAACTCTTACTGGTATTTAATAGACAAGAGAAATGAAAATTCTGTCACGCCTTGAAAAACCCAATGAGTTTTGAGTGTTTGCATGGACTTTATATGTTCACATACTAGTTCTTTTTTCTGGTGCAAATCTGACCATTGTTTGATGAACTGTGGACATCTAAGCAGGCTGCAGTTAATTCAGCACAGTGACAATTTGCATACAGTCCTGGATCTGATATAACAAGCTGTTACATCTCTTCTTGATATGTGTTTCAGATCACTGCAGAATTATTGCATCATCATAAAAGTGACCAGTGCTCTTTGGAATCCATGAGCTAATCAAATAAGAAAGGAAGTTACATATGCAACATTTCAGAGTTTTAAATGGGAGCTAATCATAGGAAAACCCCATTCCATACTGAGGTGAGAAAAAACATCTTCATAGTTGTAAAATTTCAGATCCAATTTTTCCAGAGAGATCAGTGGCATTAATCTAGATGAAAAAGAATGCAAAGTTGTATTACTTATTATGCATGTACAAAAGTCTAGAAAATGTAGGAAAAGAGTTTGATTGTCTATTTAATTTCATTGACATACACACAATTAGTAAAAAGCTAAATTGTGCCTAAGCTTTTTACAATGCATATGGTCTGGCATTAAATATGAACATTTTCAGTCCTAAAGGAATAAAATTGAGAAAATGGCAAGCCATCAGAAACAAAAGTTACATTACACCCTAACTATTGTATCTATAGTGGCCACTACTACTTCTATTGTAACAAACAAGAGAATTTGAAAGCACTTAGATTTGCTTTTTCAGCTGACGGTCTGCTGCAGGTGCTGTGCCATTATAAATAACTATTCAGCTGTTATGCATTATTATCTAAATCACCATTTCGAACCTGAAGTATAAGCTCTACAACCCGTAGATCAAATCTAAGAAATTGACTCTTGTTTACAATGTAGTTATTTTAAAGGAAGAAAATACCCAGGAAATCAAACTCGCAAAGAATTTTAATTATGCTGCTTGTTTCTAGGAGCAGTATTGCAGTTTTACATTCCAACACTGTGTGCAAGGGAAATGAAATACACAACACCTGTTAACAATACATACTCTGATGAATGCTTGGCCAAAAATCGGGTTATGAATATTTTTAATCACATAGGGTGGAGAGAAAAAAGATGTTTCAATTTTTTTTTCCACAGCCAGCCAAATATTATCAACTTAGTGTAACAATTTAAATTTTATTAACACCAGATGAAATCATAGAGAGAATTTTTTTGACCGATGCAGAAATAATTATGATTATTTTACCATTATTAGAAGAGTAGAAATGGATTCCAGCAAAAATGGAGTACAGCAATATGTAGGTAAGAAGGAAAAAAAGGCTTCCTTTATAATCCCCTATTTGCAGGCTCTGATTTTTTAGAAGTTCTCATTTGGCACTGAAAATTTACAGAGCTGAGTTCTACCTTACGAAAGGAAAGAAAGAAAGAAAGGAAGGAAGAAAGAAAAAGAAAAGAAACAAAGAAGACTTTTTTCCTACTGCATTCAATTTCTCCATATTTTCAAAAAGTATTTTTTCAATGTGTCTGTGAGAAAAAAATATTCCTTGTATGTGTATATCAAACATCCAGTTACAGTTTGGATTTTCAAACACAGCAAAGGCAGTTGAAATTTAAATAGTGGTTTGTCAAGAGTAATGTCTTTGTTGGCTTGGGTAGCATGGAAAAGACAGTAACTAAAAACTAATGTATGATCCATGGGATAGAACAAAAGCAAGAGGTTGAAGAAACACCAGTCTGTGCTTGATGGGTCCAGGAGATAAACTAAGTTAATTATGGATACAAAAGACTGTAATCATCTTTTGAAGCCAAATCTGCTTTTGGAGCTTGTGCTTTCCTTGTCGAAGGCAGTTTTAAAATTCAGAGCTGAAGGAGCACAGCAAGAAATCACAGTTGAAAAAGCATCTCCCCCATTTTTGGGACTTTGCATTTTTATTGCATTTGAGTTCCAATTGCTAATAATGTAAGTAATGGCTCAGCTCAACCATCCTTATGTAGTCTGAACTCCTCTGGGTTTTGGTGTAATGTGATAAGTTGCTGTTGTGTTTTGGTGGCTGCAGGGCTGAGCTCAGGGAGCCACTAGTGGGGATTGCAAGAGGCAGGTGCGTTGCTGGGCTCCAAGCAAACCAAAAGGCTGAGAAGACTGGAAATACTTGTCATGCAACCTAAAAAGCTTTGTGCTTCTGAAGACAAATGCTTTCACTGCAGAGTTCCCAGGGAACAAAGGAAGTCATGGCCTTTACAAAGTACAAAATTGGAAGAAACACTTGTATATGAAGTCTGACTCACAACTCATGTAAAAAATATGACAAACTTCTTAGTCTAATTCATTAACTCTACCTTTCAAATGCTATCCCCGGGAGCAGTTTCTGTCTGAGCTATTTTGTTCTCTTCTTGCCGCAGATTGTTTATAAAGAATTATGGGAAATGACAACAAAAGAATCAAAGTTCGATTTTTCACAGATGAAACTACAGAATGCATGGAGTACTGTAATCCTGTCAGACAAGTGAGTAAATTATATCTTGGTTGCAACAATACACTACTTACTGAATAACAATAAGAATATGTTCCCTTCCTCACAGTAAAAATATTTGCTGTTAATATAAATAGTTCTGAATATCCCTGGCAGTATATGCATGGATGCCAAACAGCATTAAAACTCAAGCAGGATGTCACGTTTCAGCTGCAAGAAAGAGGGGAAGACTGTTAACAGATGTTAAAACAAGGAGGATGATTCACTTCTGGTATTTTACAGTAATGAAATTCCATTAACTTCTATCATCTTTCTTCACATTTCTCTTCAAGTAAATGACAAAAACATAAGCTTATGTTCAAGAAACATTCTGAAACACTGCACTGAGGCTTTCATTCTGCTTCTAAATTTCCTGTGATAAGTATGTTGGTAATTGTGCTTCCCCTGGACCAAAATACAGCACTGATCTTTATAGCTCACGTCACAAGTATCAACAGTATGTCTGCGTGCTCAAGCTGAGAGAAATACTGGCTGGCATGAGCTGTGTGCCATCCTTGTCTGTCTTTAACTTTTGAGCTCTGGGATGCTGAAGAACTGAAGAAATGGATTAGACTGGAGTAGAATAATTCATTAGACTTCCACTTTCTGAGAGCCTAATTTTAGTTTCTGTCTTATCTAAATCTATAAATTACTTTAATAAAGACCTTATGGAAGCATTTGACCCCAGTTTTAGAACAAACCCATGAATATTCCTCAAGACATCACAAACAGAGCTGGTTCACAGTTAAAAACACAAATGTATGTGCTGGTCTCAGGTCCCCAGTTCAGTGAGTTTCATTTTTACAAGGAGTCATGTACTTAAGCTCTCTAGAGCTCTCCAAATTCATTTTTTACATGCAACTACATAATCTTTTCAATGTGAACACGGACATTAACTCCTCCTTGCAGCTCTCTATAAACATCTGCTTGCACAGCAGATATTTCAAATTCAGAATCTCAGAAGGAAAGTGCTCCCACGACTGATTACTGAGATATATACCCTTTTATTTTAGTGTACTCTGCCAAGAGGAGTCCATAACCCCAGATGAGTCAGGGAAGAAAAGGGGCAGGGCAGTAATAAACAGCTACACTATAATTTCAACCATATTGCCTAGTTATCACAGAATAACCTTTATGCTTAAATTTTTAAGGAGACTATTTGGACACATTCTTCCTTCTTGAGTGTGCTCATCCACTCACTGGGATTTGTGCTCTGAGATTCCACGTACACCAAGAGAAGACACATGTACCATCTACCCCAAATTTACTACTAGTCTCTGGTGGAAGGGACTCAGGATTTTTGCTAGACTGCACAGTAACAAATTTTGCTCTGTCTGGAATAGACCCCACTCTGTAAAGTGGTGATAAACTTGCCATACAGACTCTACAGGTATTGTTGCTATAGTTGGAATCTTGCTCCAAGACATCACTTAAGCATTAAGATATATCTCAGTAATTCAGGCTTGCTATTCCATATTAAATAAGGAAAAGAAATACTAAGATACCTTGGAAGCTGTTTGTGTAGCCTAACAAGCACATTGCTCACAAAAGCACAAAGGAAAAATAGTCAGTTTAAACTGGAAATAGTGATGTGCTTAAAGTTGAACATAGATTTAAGCTGGCACAGTAGTCACAGGGAATTTTTTTCAAAAGGTGTTTTCAGTAGCTCCAGTATGCAAGCCAACCTGTATCTTTGGTAATTATAGCCTCCCTACTGAAAATCCTCCTGTAATTTCAGTTGGATGTCATTTTTCACTTCCTGCCCTAGATAGTTATATGTTATTTTAAGAAGTAGTTAACATCATATGAAGAAGGTGGCAAAATATCAACAGAGCTACACAACAAAGACATGAAAGAAGTAAAATATGAAATCTCTAAAAGAAATGATGTTCCTATTTGGGGGTAAAAGGGCAGGAACAATGGAATCAGTGCATTTATATTTTTTTCACAGGCTTTGCTGCGTTATAAGATGTTTGAGCCCTTTACTTTACATGGTAGTGCATTTCTATCTTCTTTAGTTTACCAACAGACTGAAACAGTAATTCAAACTGAAAAGTCAAATTTTGACTGTCTAAATGAAAAGTGAAGACAGATGTCTGGTCTTTTGCATGGAATTTAATATTCCAGTTCTTGCAAACTTGTCAAAATAAGTGGTAATTTATATCTTTAGAAAAAAAATGTACAAGAGATGGGAATCTGTGATAAAAATTGGTCTGAAGAAAGAATATATATATAATATGTACGTGTATAATATAAAACAATGCTTTAATCTAGATTATACGTATTTAATAGTATATGTATATTAATATTCTATTTACTTGATATCTCTGATAATCATTAAGAATGTACTTTGCTTAATTTGGTACATTTCTTCGAGTAATTTTCCTTACTCCTTTAATTAGCATGTTCTGTACTAAAAAGCTTTTGCCCCTGAAGAGCATAGCTCTTACAGTCAGTGAAACTATGCTTTCCTATGTATTCTTTATAAACTTAAAAGTCTAAAGCTGGAATTAAATTGTTTGTTCCTTGTCACTGGTATACAAATGGCTGTGTAAGATGCAGAAAGTTGATTTCTGTCCCAAGGAGCTTAAAGTCACACAGTGGTCAGCGCTGTTCCTTTTGTCTCAGTCTTGAATTTTGGTGTTCTTAGTGGATTAGTCTTGTCTGAATGCTGACTGTAAGAAGTCACTTAGATGGACTGAAATAGCTACCCACTAAATTATCCATATTGCTTTATCTTACGCATCAGCCCTCACTGTTTAGATTCTTGAACTAAATTGTAGTTGGAGAAAATCCTAAGCATCCTTAGTTCATACTGATAGTATTCTGAAATGTTATATGCCCATTCACATTAGTTCTGCAATTTAATACATGGTAAGGGACTGTCTTGACCTACTGGCTTAAATAAATTCATATTTCTTCTTGAAGTTCTTGTTGGCAGGAAAAAGTATAAGTTTCTTGGAGATGGACTACATGTCCTTTTAAGTCTTTTCTATCTAATTTCTAGGATTCCTGTGAACCTAAATCCAATTTCTTGGCACTAGATATAGCAGTCTTTTGGATGAGATCAAGAATAGAACCACTCTATTACTTGCTTTTATCCATTGAGCCACCTTTCTTTACAGTGAAATGGAATCATTGATAGAGTATGTGTTTTACTTCTCTCACTGCTCTGCATATTGTTTTGAATAATTGAAAAATTATGATTTGCTAAATTTAACTTGCACTTTCTTGTTGCTGTGCCACGTACTAAATTTACAAGTCTCTTAAAATCACTTTCAAATCATATGAAAATTTTCCCTACATATTAATTACATAGAGAGGGAGGAATTCTGAGATACACTGTAATGAAGAACGGTGAAGCCCAAGCAGTTTATCTCCTTAAATAATTCAGAATTCTGTCCATCCTTCTGCTGATACACAGAAGCAGTTATCCTCTTGTAGTTGTTACCATAGTTCCTTTAATTAGACATTGCCTGAGAAAAGGCAGAATTACCTTTTTGTTTTAGAAACAAGTTTCTCAGACAACCTAGGATTTATGTGCTTCTTTTTCTAGTACATAATCATGCCCTGAATTTTTTTTCTGAAAATCTACAGTATGTAAAACAAAAGAACATCACCTAGAGGGAATACTGTTCCCTGGATACAATATCGGTGATGGATGTTATAAATGACTCAGGAGAAGGTGATTAATTGCCACGTTAATGCACCTATATACAATAATGCACAATTCATTATTAAGAGCCATGTAACACTAATGTACTTTTGCTTTCACAAATTATCCATTTGTTGCCCAGGGAGTCAAACTTGAATACTGTGTGCAAGATCTCCATGCACGCCTGTGTTTTTTTGATCCCTGTCTCACAGGGCAAGAACTCAAGCAATTTGTTGTCATGAGAGGTGGCAGCAAGGGGAGCTATATGTCCATCTAGTGCAACAAGAAAGCCTCCAATAGGAATTTCCATCTGCTTTTCATCGTGAATTTGCCTACATGTAATTACTATGCTTAGTGATGCTTAACTAAAGGTGAATGAAAACGTGTTTGCAATTGAATGTTTTCTAAGACCTCCATCACTATAAGGATGTGTGAATATGCTTGGAGTTTACGAAAACTTTATGTTTGAAAGTAAGTCTTCTGAAAATCCATTCATTTTTCTGAATTCTGCATAAACTTTGTCTTCTGCTGAAATCCAAGGACCTCTGCAAACTAGAAAAAAAAGAAAAAAATCAGACAATCAATTTAGTTAGGACTTTGAGGGACTTAGTGGAGTATTTTGGAGCCCTGTTGCAACTGTTGGCTTGTTGTTTTTTTTTTTCTTCCCAGTTGAAGATGGCCTACCACCGACAAAGCCCTGCAACATTTAGTGTGAAGCTTTGACTTATCCACCCCTTCTGACATGGAACTCTGTATCTGGGTGAGTCTGCTCCCTGATAAGCTGAGGAAGAAGAAAGTCTTTCTAGGAAGACAGCATGCTTCATAGCATCATTAGCAAAATGACCTGACAAAAGTTAAGGAGAGTAACCAGCTCTTCACTGACCTCCTGTCAGGGCTGAATATAAGTAGGCCATGTGGTTATCCTTAATAGGACCAGGCAATGTGAGCTGAAGAGGCTTAATCAAGGACGGAAGGAAGAGGAGGAAAGTGTACCCCCTGCGACTCCTGTGCTGGGTGATTCTAGCCTTGGCAAAACAATCTCAGAAATTTGAACTCTGGTTGCTCCTCAGATAAATAGAAGAGCTCTTACTATGTAATGCTTTGTAAGGGCAGGCTTTCAAATATGGACTGCTTAAATTATACATGCTGGAACAGACACTTTCGGGGAACTTTTTCAAATAACATAGCTACACAGAGGAGCTTTTCTTCTCCCCTGACCTGAAGTGTCTGTGACCATCAGCAATCAGAAAATTTACCATGACTAGTCATGGTAGGAAAGGACTAGATCAGACTTTAAAGACCACTACTTCTGTTGTACTTACAAGTCTTGCATTTGAAGGAAATGAAAATGAGCTGCCTTAAATACTCACACTTGCATATAAATGTGGGTTTTATAAACATAAAAGAGTCAAATTAAAAGGAACAGCCTAACGTTACTGTTGAATCTTTTTTGTTGGTGTCCCTTTTTTTCCTATATCTTTATAATTCTATATAAATATTTAAATTGAAAATAGGAAGTTTAGGAGCTTACTGTTGGAAATGTGTGCTGAGTTTCCATCGGTGCTCAAAGTCAGTGAACTTGCACAGTGTGAGTTTTATGTAAGAAAGAATACAGTCCAGGGCTAAGCCCTTTAAAGCTGAATAAGAGAAATGGAGGTAGTTCCTTTAAGGGTTTTAAGCCACTATGTTTTTGACATTAGAAATGTTTGTGGAAGTCAGTGCATATTTTCAATGCCAGAGGAATGCGGGGTTAAATCCGAAATCTACCTGTTACTGGCTAGATTATCAGTATGAACATATACAATATTATACTGCATCCAAATATCAGATTTAATTCCCCAGTTTTTACACCTTAGTGCGTGTGGTGCTTGCAGCTCTGAATAATGTTCTTATTTGATTAGATTTATATACACAGTAAAAGGAGAAGTAACTGCAGCCGTACGGTTGTCGGCTACAGAGCATGGCACAAATTGCAGGAATTCACAGTGTGGGCTCTGCACAGAGCTATGCAATTCTTTAAAATACTATGAATAATTCTAAAAAACACTGCAGGATCCAGCCCTCTCAACCGCATTCCAAGAGATTCCTGAGTCCTTTTGGAAGCATGATTGGTGTGTATGCGTAATTATGGGTCAGACTGTTGTGCAGGAAGGGGAGTTGATGTATGCTGAATCTCAGACATCAGTCATGGTGGGTAATGGGCAGGTATGAGTCTCTTGTGATACGGGTACAGTGCTCAGTATTTTGTGTGGTGCAAGACACCAGCGATGACAACCTTCAGAAAGTGGAAAAGTGCTCAGAAACAGCAGCAGACCTCAAAGCAGCTGCAGAAATCCCAAGAGGTTCCTTTCTTTACATGGGGATGCTGCAAAAATGTTTTGTCATAGCAGCTCCGTCAGCACCTTCATAAACTTTGCAAAGTTAGTTGGCTTTTTCTTTGTTGTCATCACCGTTCACCCTCCAAGTGCTTTATTCAATCTTGCAGGTTAAGTGCCGTTACTCTGAGTTGTTGCTGCTGCTACAAGTCTGCAAACCACACAGAACTGACAGAACCGCTCCTGTCCAGTTTCATTTACTGGTACTCCACATTCAGAAAGACAAAGCAGGACAAAGAGGAGAAACAAAGGATACTGAGGTATGCTAAATCTTTTACCTGCAAATCCTAATGAATAGTTCAGTTGCTAAGTCATCTTCCCCTTACTATATAACTCCTAAATCAGCCATAAAACATGACTGTATAAGAGTATATATCTGCCAGTGCTGGTCCCAGCAGGAGCCTGCTGCTTTACACTGGCTGACCCACAACAACGCGTGGAGCGTTCTTGGGCTGGACTGAGCTTCCAACGTGGTGTCTCAAGAGCTGACGTTGCGACGCCGTTAGGATAACTTCAAAGTGCCATTCACAAAAGCCCAGCCCTCGCACGGCCACGGCCGGCAGCCCCGCGGCGGGGCGCTAAGATGGCGCCCGGCGGGCTGAGAGCAGAGGCCGGGGCCGCGCGGGCGGAGCTTCGGGGCCCGCCCCGCTCCCTGGGCAACGGCGACGCCGAGCCCGGCAGCATGGCGGCGGCGGGGCAGGTACCCTCGCTCACTGCGTTTCACCTCGCCAGCCCCCAGCGGGCACGAGGCGGGCAGCGGCCGTGCTGTTCGTCTAGCTGTCCCCGCGCGTTGGCACCCTCTCGCTTCTTTGTCTTGCTTCTCCTTGATCTTTTAATTGAATCTAAGTGTTTTCACTAAGCTCCTGAAAGCTTAAAAGGGTGAACGTTAAAATGCTTTTGGAGGATAAATGAAGGCAGTGTGAGTGTGTATTTCTGCGTGACCTTGTCACAAAAGAGCACGTAGCAGAAAGAAGGCCGCCTGTCCGAAAGCAGCCGCGGCCCTTCCTGGCGCAGCCGCTGCCAGAGCGTGTGCCTCGGTTGGCACCAGGCTGCCATGGCAACTGCTGGCACAAGAGCTTAATATTTAGGTTTCCTGAAATAAATAATTCCTCTTCTGTGTAGAATGCATGATTCAAACACTTTATGAGAAACACAAGTGGTTCTCACTGAATTCTGTCTATTAGTGTTACCTGTACATACTGTGGCTGTTGGGAGCGGTGAGCACAAGGCCGCAGGGTGTGCAGTGTGAGAAAGGACAGGCTGTCCAAAGGCTCAGGGATGTGATTTAGCAGAGGGTTGTTATGTAGTATGCTTAGGTTGTGGTTAGACTTGATGATCTTTAAGGTCTTTTCCAACCTGAACAATTCTATGATTCTTTGATTCTATGATTAGAAAAGTAGCACTGAAATTTTCCTCTTTAATACTTCACGGCTTTATAGAAGGATCTTTTATAGGATTTTTTTTTTCATATATTTTCTGTACTGAAGTTTGTGTGATACATGATAGCACACCTTTCTGAGAATGCCTGCTATCCCCTGTGACTTATTTTTATTTCCCAAACTCTGTAGATTTGTGCGTTTTTATTATTATTATTATGATATAGCTTTGGCTGAAGCTAGCATGTTCTGTGCATAAGCCATAGCAAACATGTTATTTTGCCACTGTATTTGCCTCTTGAGAAAATCTTGAGAAAATTCCTTTTGAATTAAAATATTTTTATAACTGCTCAGACTTCAGCAGAAAGCATATTACAAAACCTGAATGCCAATCTCAGCAATTCCTGCTGCTGCTTTCTTTTAAAAAACTTTTCTTTTTGTTCCATGTAGTAGTCTGCAGCAATGAAAACATTAGTAAGGTCTACTGCCATAGTAAATTTAGTCACACCTGAGCATTTGGATTGCACATATTTTCTGAAATGTATTTTGTTATTAAGAGGACATCATCAGCCTCGGCTGTTTGTAATGGTCCTCCCTTATAGGTATTATTTTTTGCATTTCGTATATCTGCACTTTTCTCTTTTGATTACCATTGAAATTGGTGATGCAGTTGTGTATTTCCTCATTTGACAACAAAATAAATACTATGACTAAGATAGCAACTATTGATTTTAACTTCTTGTTATGGGAGCAGACAAGTGGTTTGGTTTTTTTTTGTTGTTGTCTGTTTGTTTTGTTGGTGGTGGTTTTTGTGTGTTTTTGTTATTGTTTTTTAACATATAGGAACAGTGAATGCATTTCTGTTTCTGCCTTAACCATTAGGTAGACAGCTTCAAGATTTTCTGCTTCTGCTGAAGTATTTGACAGCTTGATAACAAAATGCATATAATAATACAAATAACAGCCTGTGTTGCTATTTTTTTAATTCCCAATTTGATTAAAGTTGTAACTGATATGCAACACTGTTTCAGGATACATCTGCACTGCTGTCAGCAGTGTTGCTCAGACTGAGGTAGCTGAGCCAGCTTTAAATGAGCCAGCTCAGTACTGGAAACTATCTGTCTGTGGCAGCAGAGAGTTTAGTCCAGTTTCATTTCCCCGGGGTGAGGGCAGGAGGATCTTGTTCCTTACGCTTCAGGTAGCTGATATAATTTGAGAGAGCTGGCAAGACATTCCTTTGTGAATATATTTTTGAAAGTCAAGATTTTGCAAAGCATGTTGTTGTATTTTCAAACAGATGCAAATAACTAACATCTTCAACCAGAGCAGAGGTCTCATCCCAAAGGACAAGCCTGCTTCCTTTCAGGATCTATTGCTAATTTCCATTTTTGTGTTTTAATGTCTTATCGCTCTGAAGAGGCCCTCACCAAAACTGCAGATGCTGGAGGGGTTATTTTTAGAATTCTTCCCCACCCAAATACAAAGCTTTTTGCAGCTTGCTGTTTATTACTCTGCTGTTATTATTTTCTGTTTCACAGTGATTTGTAAACACTGGCTGAGGAATTCAAGGAGGATCTTGTTCTTTTGTTTCAAAATATCTGATTTGATATTTTGATTTGATGATGTTGACAAGAGGTGCCCAAAGCACTTGGAGTGACATATTGAACAGCTTGAAATATATTATACATTCAGAACAGCTAGAAGTTATTTGAAGGAAAATAAAGGATAAAGGGATCAAATAATTCTCTTGTAGTAGTCTATATTTACATAGGTTAAGTCTATTGCTGACAATACATATTGGCAGAGGCTTTTTTGGTTGTTTTTTTTTTCCTCCTCCAACTCATGAGGATAGCATTATCAGAATGAAATCACCTTGGATTGTCTCAGTCAGTCACAGCTTGCTAACAGTAAAAGGAAAGGTAAATTTATCACCATATCAGTGAACATGCAAAAAAAAATTTCCCTTTGATTTTTCAGTGGTGGTTAAAGACAGCCATCAAAAGGCAAAGCAGTATTTCATCACAGTGGTGATAAACTTTTAGTGGGGGTGAGGTTCTGCCCCAAAATAATTTTTCCATAAATACAGGATCATTCAAGTGACTTTACGTCTTTCCCTACTTTTTTTTTTTTTTTTTTTTAATTACAGAGACACTTCTAATTTTAAAAATTTATCTTCTAAGTAATGTGATTTCTCTCCCACAGTTGCTCACCAGTCCTTTAGAACTGTATTTTGTGTTATGTGATACCTGCACTTACTATGGACACCATTGACACAAGTGCACCCTAAAAATTAAGAACTTGAGGGTAGGAAGGAATAGTTACAGAGAGTAGGTGATGAAATGTACAGTGAGCTTTCACCTTGCTATGTAAAGTGATGGATTTTGATGTGCATATTACGGAGTTTCATCTGCAATACTAGGTTACAATAACTCAAGTCTCTCTTAAGTTTAAACCACAAACTTTAGTTAGATAAATAATGTGTTTCCAAGGCTAAATTCTTTCAGTGTTTTGAAAGGAACTATAGGGGACTGTGTACAAGGTATGTGGGTATTTTTAAAATATTTTTTTGTAATCTTACATACTCCATGTATTGCTACAATACAAATGTATATGCTAAGACTTCAGCAAATTTTCCTAAAGGCCCTTTTTGTTATTTGTAATTCAAAGAATGAGATGGGCCTTAATGATAGCATGCTTGGTGCGCACAGCCTATCGATATAGTATAGGTGGGAAAGCTTCATGCTATAGTAAACCAGCTGCAGGCAGGAGGAAATTACTTTTTGGTCAAGCATTTTCTGACATGATGAACATGGTCTGATGCCTTTCAAGAAACAGTGAGGGCTCTTTTGTATAGACTCTGGAAAATCAGATATTTTCTATTCCAGAATATTCAACTTTTTGCCTGCTAACCTGTTGCTTAGAGCATGAACATAAGAACTAGGAGGCAAAAAAAAAAAAAAAAAAAAAAAAGACTTTTGGTGAGCCTGTACTACTGAGCTATGACTGTGGTTTTGAATGATGGAGATGTGGGGTGCAGGGGTTGGAAGCACTTTTTCTTTGCTCGGTCCTCCAATTCCCTTGTCCCTTTTGCCCACACCTGGCTTATAGCCATGGATGAGAGGCTAGAAGATGATCAGAATACAAATAGTATGCCTTGAATTTTCTTAAACTTTTTCTTTAATAGTGTCAAAAGTACCATCTTATACTGTCTATCTGTGGTGATTCTTGTGAAATGATAACATTTTAGTCAGTAAGGTTTTAACTGACAAACCAGTGAACTGTATGCTGCATAGATAATGGTACAAAAAGATATAGTGTCATATCCTATGCATTGGACATCCTGAGAGAAAGAGATGAACTTGTATTAATTCAATTTCCTAAGAATCAGTATCAATTATTCTTTTAGTTCTGCTCTCGCTGCTTCTAAAAAAATCCATTTTTCAATGGATTTTTAACACCAGCGGTCACTTCAGTACAGCATTCCTATTTTTCCTAATTATTCAAAACTGTCTTTCAATAATAGTATAATGTTACTATGTTGAGCTACTTATTCATGTTTTCCTAGCTGGGGCATGAAGCTTCAGTTATATCAATATGGCTGACTGCAGAAGTGTTGCTTTTTCTACTGCATCAGTTGTTGCTAATAAAAACAAACTAGTGCCATGTTCCTAACTATCTGAAGGAAGCCTTTGTTTACTTGGTTCTTGTTGTTCTGATGAGGCATTTTATCTGAGACTAACTTCTTTGCAGTTAGGAATGATAACTTTTAATAATAAAGTGCATGGGATAGCACTCGTGCTTAATTAGAAAGAAAAACTAGTCTATCCACTAAATCTCATATTGGTTGCTCTCAGCCTTGTTTCATCAGCCGTGGATGTAATTCAGCATGTCCCAGAGTTTTAGGTATATTTTGCAGTTCAGCAGCAGCAGGGGGAGTAGTGTAGCTTTATTTGGGGGCTCTCCTTGACCAGTGCTAGATTTAGGTGACGATTAGCCCAGAACAATGCTTTTCAATCCAAAATCAGCTTTTGTTAGGAAATCTTCAGCTTCTTTCTCAAGCTGAGGTAGAAATGTTGTTCAGGCTTCACTTTGCTGTGCCTCTATAAAGCCCCACAGGGTACAGATACACTTCCTGTGAGTTAATAATTTTTGTGTTTTACCCAGACTTGTAACCAACATCCAGGCAGGGTACAAACTGTTAACCTCTACTCCTTGTGCTTTATGTTGCAGCTAAATTTTTCACTCATCTTGTTGTCCACCTATGTAGACTGCTGATAAAGCTAGCTTGGATACAAGCATTTGGTGAAAAGTCATTTCACATAGCAGTCCCTTCTTAAAACTTGATAACACTTTTGGGTTGCTTTCCTTTTATATAATATTCAAAGCTCAGCAGGACTTAGTTAAAGTTGATAAAGTGATGCTATACATAGTTTTGAGCTTTGCTAGGATTGTGTCAGAGTATAATTGGTTCTTCTTTAAATAACCACTGATAATCATTATCAGCAACATATCATTTTAACAGCCTAGAGATCGTCCAACAGATAGATGTCAAATGTAGTTTTGACTCTCTTTATAGATGATGATTTTATAATGTGCTTTCACACCTAATTCCATTACCTAGATGTTATGTACTAAAAGTTATTTTTTCCAGTGTGTTATATGTTTCATAGATTCCTTACCAAAGTCCACATTGAAGGGATTTTGGCCAGTGACACACACTAAATGAAGTATCGTCAAATATTTTTTAGAAGACCACTGCATAGCTTTTTCAACATCAGTTTGCTATCCCATGTAACATGTGCACCGTCGTATTTCCTGCAAGGAACTGCTTTCTGTTCTGTAGATACACAGACCTACTCTGAAACATTACTCTCAGATTCTTCTGTGTGCATCACTGTATTGCAACAAACATGTTGGACTTTCTTGGCTTAAGGAAGGAGCAAACGTGGACAAGAAATTCCCAAAGTGCAATCAAGAAGTAAAGGGAGAAGGTCAAATAGTATGGTAATGTGCATGTATGGCCATAATGCCTTAAGCATAAATTGAGTATAAAATTTAATTACTGTACTATCCGTCAAATCTAGATTCTTGGACAGTTTTGTACATTTACATTTCTGTTGTTTTTACTTATAAGTTAGTGACATATTGTGAGCAGCACAGGATTGAATTACATTCCCACATGAATTTAAGATAGAAATACTATTTTCCGTATACCTGCCTAGCACTATCTGCCTAGTGAAAATGTTTTAGGGCACTGTATAATTATATCTATGTTACATTTTTGGCATTTGTTGAATTAATCCCTTGCCTACTGCCTCAAAAATCAAAATGTTATTTAGATAAGTTACTGACATAATTAAATACAACTTTCAAAATTACACTCATATATATGTATGTGTGTGTAGGAAGAAGACCAAGATCAGGATGCTGTAGGTGGACAGAAGACTATTAATCATACATTTCTTTCTTTTTCGCAAATTACTGCTTTGTCAGAACAAAACGTAGAAGGATTTCAAAAGTAAGTGGCAACTGTAACGATACTAGAGTTAATGTTATCATGAAATAACATTTGTATACAAATTGTTAGATTTATTTTGTGATAGCTACCACCTTAATTGTTCAATTTAAATATGTGATTTTAAATATTTCATGAAAGGTGGGAAGAAATGTAATTGATCTCAGATCTACTTTGTTTTAGTGTGTTTCCCATATCTTTTGATTTTTCTACTTTTTTATTATTATTTGATAGGTACTTCGCACTGTTTTGGTTTGTAGGTTTATATTCTTTCTAAATATTCTGTAAATGAAATCCTAAGATGTAAATAAGCACAGGCCAATACTGAGCTTTTCCATAAGTCTCACTTGGTTAAGTCTTTTGCTAAAGCATTTAGGACATTTAGGATGCTTAATATGAGCTACTGAAAAAAAATCGGAAAGGTTTTAAAAATTTAGAAAGGGATGGAAATGTTAAGAGGTAGGTAGCTGTTATGGTGCTCTGGGGAAATAGAAGGCAGCCAAAGACATCTGAAGTAAGCCCATGTTGTCTTCATTGTAGCAACACTCTCTCTTCTTATTAATGCTTAGTAGGAGCTAAGTTTAGGAGGCCCAAGGTCAGCTTGAAACCTTAAACTTACTTCTAGGATGGGATTTCCAGAAGTGCCCAAATAATTCAGGAGCGCTTGTCTCCACTGGCAAGTTCTTACTGAATTAAAAGCAAAGGGCTGGTGTTCTTAATGGGTTTTAGAGAAGAGAACAAAGCAAAACAGAAACACACTGTCTGAATACATTGAATGTTTGAGAGATTAAAATATTATTCTCAAAATATAATCTTTCTCTGTTTTAATGACAAAAAATTCTTTACCTGATTTTTTTTTTAAAGAAAACTGTAAAAATATTTTTTCCCTATAAACAATAAGATTTTTATTTATTTATTATTTTCTCTTGACTGATGACCCATTTCTTCAGAGAAGGTTGAAGCATACAATTCATAGGAGACTAAAATGTACTTAGTGACACAATTTATTGTGAAAATTTTTCATTAAGATTAAAAAGGAAAGCATTAAAAGATCACGTTTCTTTTTTTTCTGTCTCAGCTGATCAGATGAAGATGTGTATTAGGTTATATACACACTGTACAAGTGAATCATGAGGTATGTGCTGCATCAAATGGAAAGGGATAGTTCTGGGAAATTTTAACACCAGAACTGAAATTTTGTTAGTTTATCACAGTGCATCATTTCTACACAAAAGGGCAATTTGGAGGCCACAGCAAAGGCTGGAAAATCAGAAGAGATTATCTAATTCAGTATGAGATTTTTGAAGCCTTGTGTTCTCGTATATCAGAGTTCTATACTCCGTAGGATTTGAGAGCCTCCGTGGAGGAAGAAATAGCAATCAATGTAACTAAGAAACCTAAGTCACCCATAATTTCCTGATCATTTATAGATACTGTTGTCAGTGACATGCTTTGCTGAATGTTGAAAAGATGAGTTCTGGCATTGTTAGCAGCACCACAGAAGATCTAAATCCCTGAGAAGCTCTGATTATGAAAACACAGAGTTGGCAGAGGCTTCAGAAAGAGAGGATATGGACTCTTTCAAACCTTGGAAAGTTCAGCTGGCCACGTTCCACTTCTATTTCAGTACATAGTTAAGTGTTTTTAGCCAGCTTGAATGTGTACAGCCGTACAAATTTGTTATGCAGAACAAAAGAATACATGGTTTTAAACAAAACTGATTGGATTATATGCTTTACTTTTTTAGCTATTCAGGCTTTAATTAAAAAACAACAACAACAGTCATTTTATTTGTCAGTGTATCTCTACTAGCCTGGTGAAAACCCTGAAAAACTAAGTTCCTTATGAGTAGGTCTGAGATTAATGCTGTTATTAGGAAAGAATGAGAAGCAGGAATGAAAACGCTCTTATATGGAAGGAGAAACTGTGATCATAGCTGGCACCTGTTTTGTCAGGTATTGCTAAGAAACCAAAGGCTGCTCTAATGTAAAACTTCACTATCTAACAACATAGCTAAAGTTACACTGGAAGAATTGCAAACTGAAGTCCTAGCCCTGATCCTCCATAATCTCTTCACGTGGAAAAAGGCATATAATTCTTATAAAATACATAGTTAATTCCACAATTGGACAGAGCAACATAAATTTGTCAATAACAGCATGGTCTCCTAGAAAGGAATGTATTTTTCTCTAATTGTTACTTTTTTTAAGTAGGTGGAAAATTTCCAGAGTTTACCAGAAAAATAGGATGAAACTTTTCCCAAATGCCTTGACAATTATGAAAGTGGAATACAAATTTTATATTACTTACCTTATTTCTAAATTATGATTTTACTTCACAATCTGCATGAAAAATAATGACTAAAAGGAAACATAATCTTTTTAATTTTGTAGACTTCTCAAAACAAGAGCGTGTGACTAATTGTGGCATTTCACTCACAAAACCCCTTCTTCAACACTTACTTTTCTTTTTGCATGCATTTTGCATGCATCTCTTTGGTTTTTTTTCATCCCTTTATTTTTATTTCATTAGTGATATCTTTACATTTAATTACTGTCTGTTGAAATTTATAGTCGCTTAGTTAGTTATTTTGGTGTTTTTTTTTTTTCTTCTGGTCAACAGTGTTCATATCTAGAAATAGATGAAGCAGAATTCCTGGAAAATATGAACGTGTATACATGTAATATGGTCATAATAGATATATAATCAGACATTAAATTTTGAAAGTTTACAAGTAGAAACTCCATTCTTTTACTCTGATATCTCTTTCAGAAAGCTGGCAGAGTTTCTGAATTTTAAACAATTGAAGACATCTTTGAAGGAAGCTATTCTGCTAGATTATTATACTGCAGGATTTTGTTGGGCAAAAGAAATGAATTTCAATCTCATGCAGCTGTCACAATACATGGATCTCTTAAACTTCCTGTTGGAGAACCTCAGTGGTAAGTATAGCTAAAAGTTATAAAATAAATACACCTGAAGTGGAAGGCAAGAATGCTTTCCAGTCATTTTAATAAAGTGTTTTTTAACTGCAAGTATTGGTAAAATGATTTGTTTTCCTCTTGAATACTGTACTTTGTACTTGATAATAATTTTTCTCAAAAGACAGTAAACTTTGAGAGGACTGTAGTCTGTTGAGCAAAATGTCTCTCAATCTTTCTACAGGCTGTGCTATAAAAGGGAAAGGCCCTGAAAAGACCTAATCATTGGCTTGTTAAAATAAATAATTGTAGTAGAGTGAGAGGAAGGAACATCTAAATTCCAGTGCCAGCTCTCTCAGTGACTGACTCACCGTAGCCTTGGGCACATTTCTCTGCTGTTTGAGATATTCAGTACATGCTATAGAATTACACCAGGTGAATAATATGTATTTTATCCTTGGAGGTGAACTCTTAGGCAGCTTTCTATATGGCAAATTCTGCACTCCGGGCACAAAACGTATGGGTTAACTAAAGAATGACGAGGGAAGTATACTGTCATCACTGCTGAAGTTGAAAAATTACAATGGAAGAAGTTTTACCTCTTGTGGCTATGAGGAAATTTGCAAAAAAGCCTTTATCTTGGGTCTGGTGGGAACAAAATAGCCAGAAAAAAAGTTGTAGCAGCTTCCTCTTGAAACCCCTTTTTCTGAGATCACAGCGCTTACTTTATATTCACTTTGAAGGTAATTATGTTGAGAAGAGTCCATCCCAAAGGAAAAGTAAAAGGACTCAGTGGGTCCATTCAAAGTAAAGATGAATATTTAAAATCAAGCCCTTAATAATTGTTATACTCTTTCATTGTAGTTTAATTCAAGGACCTTTTCGTTCTTGGAATTCTGACAGAATATGTATATGCTTTATGATCATTGGAATTCCAGTTGTCCTTCCTGTCTCCAATGAGAAAGTATCTTAACATGTGCTAACTATATTAATATAACAATGGAGAATAATGGAAACACGTCAGAATTTAGTTTTATGAGATTGTAATGCATGTGTACTAGACTGGCTGGTAACACAATGGGTTATTAAAGATGACTTACATTTTTCAGGATCTTTACTCTGGCAAATCTTTAGGTCTTTGAGCTGAAATTTTCCATGGCAATGACTGCCTCAGAGCAATTCAGCAGGCTTCAAAACAAGACTGAGGTGTCCCAAAAAAGTAATGCCTTATTTTGAGGTTGGTTATTAATGTATGCATGTATTTATTTTCCCAAACAGCTCCAATGCCCCTACACTTCACAGTGTAAAGGTTTGGCAAGCAAGTATTATGAATTTGATTTTTGCTGGCTTCTGAAAATCCATTCATATTTAGCTAAGATTCTAAGGAAAGAAAATGCAGTTTGTAAATGCTTACAAGAGGCTTCTAATATTTTTTTCTCATTAAATTTCCCCACAGAATCGATCTTACAAAGTATACTGTAGCCTACCAGGGCTGAGATGAGTTTCCTTGTGTTTACTGTTCTCAGCTGGTGCAACTAATAGTGAAATGCTAATGTTTTCTAAATTAATGGCCATTTTATTTCCCTTTGCTACAATGTACTCAAGCAGCCTGGAAATTTAAACTCCTTTGAACGTAATAGCATGGAATGGAAAGAATGGATTTAGACAAGGAAGGTAGTGGAAACTCATTTGAGTCTGGTAACAGAGAAAGTTTCTAAACAGATGTTTAGAAACTTGAGACTGTGGTTGATTGGGTGAAGAGGAACAGTTCGAGAGCCAAGGCATCTTTGCTGCCTGTAAAAGGGTTTCTTATTGAGAAAGAGGGACAGAATAGAGACTGAAAACTGGACCCAGATAAACTATTTATGTGATTTGGTTTACCTTCTATACATGAGGAGAAAGTACTCCTTACTTCACAGATGTGTTGTGAAAGCCCTCCTAAGAGAAGCAATTGGGCCTGAAAATCAGATGTACAAAGAAAGAAAAATTCTGACTATCTGGAGAAAGGATCTGGGCCTACATGCTGTGACATCTCATGGTCTTGTTATCTGGCTTTACTTCCCCACTAATTGTGATAATTCTGGTTCTTTTTCTCATTTCCCATGGCTTAGCTTCCCTTTCCTTCACATTCTCTGTATTTCTTTCTAGTTATATGCTGCTGCCTCTGTTAATGAAAACTGAGGTGAAATTTTCAGAGTTGTGATTGCTGTACCACCAAAGGGCAAAACTTTTAAAACCAGAGTGTTGTAATTTTTTTAATTTGTTTTCTGTACAAAGAACCAGGAAGCAGATCAGTAGAGAATTAAAGCAATAAGGAAAATAGATCTGTTTCACTGCTGGTGGATATTTCCCCATCTTCCATTCTAGATGTTTTAGACTTTAAAAGAACAAGTAAATTGTGTTTATAACTTTTTTTTTTTAACTTCACAATTGTTCTAGTGATGGTATACACTGTACACAAATTAGAAAAATGAATCCTTTACCTTCAAATAGAAGCATCAGCAAACACTGATGTATTTCAAGATTTTTCCCAAGGCATTTTATAAAAAGAATATAAATTTTAGTTCAGAACTGTTTTAGCATTTGGTTTTTTATTTTCAAGTTAAAACTGTAAGGTAATTATCTATTTTGAGAGGTGCAAATGGTGGAGCATAAAGATTAAGCATATTCATGTTTAATGAATTATGACTGTAAGTATTTAAAAATTCACTATTCTTTTAAATAATCTATTCCTATATTGCTGTTTTATACTGTAAGGAATATGGTCAGAAGAACAATATTTTACAGTACAGAAACAATAGTTAATTTTAAAGAATGTTCCTATATTGTAGTAAATGCATCTTGAATTTATGTACTGATCTGTCTGTGGTTGTCTCTGCATACATAAAAGACCAACCTCTTAAGTCTTAAACATCTATCTGAGGACCCATCAGTGATTTTGTGATGGAATTTTAATTCATTTATTGATGAGAATAATGGCAACAGACAAAAATGTTTGACTGCTGTTATTTTTTAAGTTTTCATGTCACTCATAATGTAAATGGTTAAACTTCAGAATGTGCTTTAAAAGATTCTACTATGTTTATACTTGTTTTTTTGTTCCTTGGAATTTCTTTGCAGACAAACATATGACCTTAGAAGACAACATAAAGGAACTTGGAAGAGCAATGGCTGGAATAGGAGAAACTGATTCAGAAAGAAGTGGTGACTTGGATGTCTTCAGCATTGACCAAGCCAAAGCAATCATTGATTACATGAATATCAGGTACTACTCCAGGATATATTGTTTCTTATTCAACTGATTTAATGTTGTGGGAAATCTGACGATGAAATAAATTACAATTATTTAATTGAATATGTCCATAGTGTGCCAATATGCTGCACACACAAAACTTAAAAAGGAGAAAGGAATGAAAAAGTCAGAGTTTCATCTTGATGTAAGATTATGCTGAAAATATTTGATCTGAGTTTTGATTTGAGAGATTTAAAAGAAAGGAGAAAGCAATGTATGGAGACTATTATTGCTTTTAAAGCTATGTAATTCTAGATACTAACCAGCTGAATAATATCTAGATCTCATCTACCACTTTCAGTATTTCTGTGGTCTTGTTAGTTGTAGTGAACTTGTTAACTGGCTTAAAGTTCTGTACTTTATGGGATTAAAGCCATGGTAGATCTGTATGAGCAATAAAAATGTATTTCAAAGTTAGCCTAAGTCCACTGTCTACATGATGAGATTTCTTGACAACTCTCAGTTTTTAAACAGACACAGAAAAATATATAAATTCAGAAATCACTGGTGATAATTAGAAAAAAATGAGTGGTTAGAGGTAGCCAATCACTCATCTCTCCATATATGGTGTTACCTCTCTAGTAACATATGTAAACTTTTCTCCTTTGAAGTACCATGGTTAGGAAAGTGACCATTATCTTATACTACTGTCTCCAGTATGGAGTGAACAGAATGGTCCCTCAACTTATTGTATTGCCCATGAATATCTGCAGCCAAGAAAAGATGGAAAATAGAAAAGATATGATTGTAACATTTGCTTATACACCGTATTGTATTATAGCCAGTTAGTCCATTTCCTGAGCAGAACAGTGGTGCTCTGCTTGTGGATTTTTGTTGTTGTTAGCGGTATTTTGGTTGGTGGTTTTTTTCATGGAAGGTAAAAAGAACTTCAGGATTTTCCCATATGAAATGAGAGCATCTTTTTAAATGTCAAGTTTCTATATCAAGGCAAACCAATGTCCTGCCAAGAACAAACCCTAAACTAAAAGGAAAATTGGCATTTAAGATGTCTCACTCAACTTATTCTACTTCTTCTTTCCTGTCTGTGCCTTTTGTATATTTATTTGGAACAAATGTTATTTCCAGATAGGATCTCTATGGCTCTTGCATAGATTATCTATTAAAAGAGATCTTATCCATAACGTAAGTCCTTCACAGACTCAAGAATTTCATCCGAGAGGTGAGGTGCTCCATCCTACTACTGCTGAAGCATTAAGTCAGCAAGAATATAATCAGGACACAGTATTTTAGTAGCAGCAGTATTCTGGCCACAAGGTGTGGTATGATGTTCAAGCTGCTCAGAAATACATGCTGTTGCAAGGTTATGGATATATGCACATACACATGTGTATATATATATATATATATATATGTATATATGTATATGTATATATATATATTCGTGCACAAACTATGAAATGTATTGTATATATTCACTTTCTATAATCCATTATTTGAGTCATTTTAATACTTTTTTCTAAAGAGAAACTGAATCAGCATTTTTATGTAATTGTATTTTGAACTTCATGAACTCGGTTGACTGAGTTGTAATAAACCTCAAATTAATGTATTATTTCAGCATCTTTTCTTATTTTTCACTTTTTTTTCTTTAATTTGAAATGTTAAGTCTATAGCTTTCTTCTTCTACTCAAGATAGCATGACATGTTTTAGTTTAGATCACATTTTTACAGGTGAGCTATAAACCCATGGGATTTATAATGGAAATGGGAACAAATGCTTAACCACATAGGCACAAACTGTGTAGCAACTCTAATGATACCTTCAGGTTTGGTGGAAGGTGACAGTTATCATCTTTTTATCTTGTATCCTGCAGCAAACACACATCATCGTAGCTCTTGACATTTTCTTTCAGGAAGCATTGGAGCTAGGAAAATATGTCATCATTAATCATCTTCATATTCTCATATGACATCATAAGTGGTTCTATTCTTAAAGATCTTACTTTGCATGAGTAAATATTTTTTCTTTAATTGCTGAAAATATTGGCTCTTAATTGTTTGCAACAGATACAAACAAAAAGAAAACATTTTCTATAATTCATGATAGAAGAAAGAAAACTACACAATGGTTTTAAAATAAATACTGATGTATATTCGATGTGATTTGATTTGAAGGGCATTAAAGGGAGGAATTCTCTCGTTTATATAGAATTAAGGGGGCCAGGTCAAAACAGAGTTGTTGGAAAAAATAAAAATATATTCAGAAATGTCAAAAGCAAAGATTTATATTTTTGAAATACTGTGAATTATCTCTACATGTAACACAGTCCATAGAGAATATCATAACACAGTTAGAAAGTCCTAGGGAAAGTACTGGTTTTCAGCTGCTCTCAATCTGGCTTCTTTCCAAGGCACTGGAATAAATAAAAGAAATAATTTTAAAATGTTAGGTTCTGTCAATACAGTTTGAAATACATATATCTTATTTCTTGTATGTCTGTGATATTCATAATTATTTTTTTTTTGTCTTTTTCGAAGAATCGGTATTAGATTTTTACACAAATAGGCATGTGAGTGCAAGGACACATATATTTTCATGACTTTATCTGAGTCATTTCCACACAAACTTAGTTCATAATAAAATTCCTGTATTTCCACTGAAACATGGCAGGAATAATTTGGTGAAATACTACAGTAAATATGTACTGCAAATGAAATGTCAAATAGTGTAGCAACTTAATTACCTGCGTGCTTTGGGTTGGGGGAAGGTAACTTGCAGTTTATAAAAACCAAATTTCTTATTCAAGGTAGTGATCAAATTTGTTTTATTAGAAATGCTAATTGCCTGAATTAAATGCAACTGTAGAATAAAACTTTTATATGGCTCTTAAAGAGCCAAATGTTCAGTGAGGCTGCCATAATACTTCACACAAAATTAAGAAATGCATCTGTACATATGTTGAAAAACGTCTGCACCAATTTGGGCACAAATGTATTTGGAAGTTTCATGGATGCATTTAACTAACTCTGCTGCAGAATGTGTAATTGTCATGTAAGATAGAAAGGCAATGCCAGCTTTGTGCTCTTTGAATTCTGAGCTGCACTCAAGGGCTTCAAGGAGCACTGCTGTCCGTTAGTTGGCACTTCAGCACTGCCTACATTAGAGCAAATCATCTCTGGTCTGCAGCGTTTTGTGGAAGCTCTGTGGTACTGTGGCAGTGGCTGGCAGCACCATGTAAGTAAAGGTGGTGATTCAGGAAAGGACCCTCAGCTAAAACTGTGTGTGCTGAACACAGACTCCCCCAGATGGTTTTCTCATTTCCTTCCAGAGCCAGGATTGGATTTCAGACACCTACATCCAGCGCAACAACCCCTCCCTTTGCAAGCATGGGCTGATCCAGCCCTGCCATCACCTGTGCTGGGTGCATGGCTGTGGGATGATGGAAGAGCCCCAGCGGTATGGAGCAGCCAGCCAGGGTGGCAGCTGCAGGGGCTGGTTCCATAAGAGCCTCAGGGACCATCACGTGTTGAACAATGGCCCATGATTGGTTTTGTGGCTGGGTAAGGGTACTGTAAACACATTTTTCAATGCAAAAGCACATTTTTAATAGTATATTCCTGAAGTATTTCACTCAAAAAAGTTTGTTTAACTACTTTGTAGTTAACAAATGCTTCAAAATGCTTATTGTTGAGTTGGAGATGTTCTACCTGCTCTTCCTCCACTGCTTCTACTTTTAATACTTTGATCAGGCTTTTGTGATAACTTTTAAAACTACTTGTGTTATGATTAAATTACTGCAGAAATTTTACTCTAAGGATCATAGTTTTTCAGCATCTACTGTGCCTATCACAATATTGACTTTGATCTTTTGAAAGAGAAAAAAAAAAAAAAAAAAGGAAAAACTTGAAAACATTGTATTTGAGCATCATACTTGTGCTCCCAATAAAATTTGAAATTCACATATATTTCTGACCTAGCCATGGGATTATTCTGGCACTCCATTCAGGAGACATAAGGCAAAGCAGGGAGGAGCTTCTTTAAAAGTATTCAGGTAAAAACATAGGTTTAAAAATGTTGGTAGAAATGCTCTGACAAGGGACTGTCAGTGCCCATATGTGCTGTCTCTGTACTGGCAGTTAACTTACAGACCAAAGGACTGTAGAAGCAGGGTACTGCCTTCTTTTTGAGAGGTGACATATAAAATATAACTTAAAATATTAAAAAAAAAAAAACAACTTTGAAGGGACATATAAAATTAATCTCCTGGCCCAGAAACAGTGGAAGGCTTAGATGTGGAAGTATAGTGTTAGCATGGCATCCAGTATCTAGCAGCAGTATCATTAGAATTAGGTAACTGCACACATTGTTGTAATAGTTACTTGCACAGGCTAATAGAGACACAGAGGTTGGAAGAGATGTGTGGAGGCCATCTAGTCAAAACCCAACTGAAAACATGCCTCATTATTCCAGATGTGGCCTTGCAAATGTTGAGCAGAGAAATGTTGCTGGCTAGAAAAAGCCATACTGTCTCTCTTAAGGAAAAAAAGAATCAAAATGAGCCTGTGACCTATCCTTAGCCACAAAGCATAGGAACCAGTTACTGACATTCTATGAAAAGCTTGCCATATCCTTCATGGGTATATCAGAGGAGTGTGATAAATTTAGAATCATTCTTCAACCTGAACTTGCTATGAAATTGTAGAGCTGTGTTTTAAATCATATGTCAGAATGACGTGACAGAAGCCAGAAGTTCTGCATTGTGATTTTAAGAGAAAAAAGTAATTGTAACAGATGGACTGTGAGAAAGTGAGCCTTTGATTAAAATCATACCATATCATTGATCATACAGAAAGGAAACAAGGAGTAGTAGTTAAAGCGTGAAATGGAAAGCCATATATGTTTTAAGGAAAATAAATATTTTAGGCCATTGAGATGGTCTACTTTGTAGCTTTTGTAGTAATATGCAAAACTGCAGTACGCCAATCTGGTCTTCTAGCTTTTCTTTAAGAAAATTATACGCTGATTTTGAAATGTGATCTTGAGAGAATAAATGCTTCCATTCTTTTTTGCCTTGTCTTCCAACATCAAAATTGATTGCTGGACCAGCAGCCCAAAATCTGCGAGGTCATTTGGCTTTGTTTCCTGCTTGTTCACCATCACCGATATTAAAGGCATTGAATATCCTGGTGATAAGTGTTTCAGAGATTACTTTTTTTCTAAGTAGAACTTAGTGTTTTCAGAGTTTGACTTCATAAAAGAAATCAGATGTATTGTACTGTATTTCCTACAGCAATCTAAAAGTAAATCCCATAAATTAAACACACCGCATATTGTAGTTTGTAGAAGTTAAACACCAGTTTGCTGAAGTTAACCAACCTCTTCCTAACATTTGGAGTACGACTGTTTTGGAGAGTGACTTTTAGTGTTACAAAATTTTATGTAATATTGCCTTTCTAAAAATTTAAAGCTGCACTAGTATTACTTTTTCTCTTGTTTTGCAGCTTATTTCGACTCTATAAATTGTATGAACATATCTTCCACACTCCAAGAGAGGAACACGTGATAAGTAATGAGGTAAATCATTTATATAGATGGAATTCATTATGTAGAGTTATTTAATGAATGCATTCTGGCATATGTTTTGTATTGCTCAAAGCAACTTCCTGTCAACATTACTTCATTACTAACGTAAAATGGCTGATTAAAGAATATAAGTTAGATATTTTGATCCTCAAATTCAAAATTAATTTTGAATTTCAAAAAAGTGTAAATGCAGTGCTTGGTTAAAACGTTGTGTTAAATCAGCAATACTTTTGTGTATTTAAGTTAGTGTGTGTCATTTGAATTAGCAATGCATGAGTCTGACTCTATGTTATTATCAGCAATCAAAATCAGAAACGTTTGTGTACCAAGCGTGAGTCTGACCACAGTCCTGATATTTATGTATCCACAATTTATCCATATTTATTTATCCATCCACATTGGTCACCAATAGCTAAATATACCCATTATAGAGAAACAAGCTAGCTAGAAATCCTGCATTTTGAAAATAGTGTTAACAGTGAATTGGCTTGACTCTAAAACTTTGTCATATTTTATAACTTCTTTGTGAAAAAATGCACAGAAAAATGTGTTGACTCAGGATGTGGTCTTAAATCAAACAGACAGGTTCAGTTCATCAAATGCACCTTCCTTTAGCCTGATGGTGCGTTTTGATGATATATCTTACCATACATCAAAAAGAATTTACATTTGTAATTTAGGAGACAAGTGGTTGCTCTGAGAGGTATGGTAGTGTAATTTCTTTTCTGGCACGTATTTTAGCTTTTTGGTTCATAGCAAAGTTAAAGTTAATGCATCGGAAAATGTTTTTTTTACACATTAAGCTAGTGGATTGGGTCTATAAACAACGTGGTATAATTTCTTCCGGTGTCACTTTTAAAATAGCTTTGTTTTATATGTGAGTTATTCTGAGGTAAGTTGTAAAGTGGCTTAAAATTCTAGCTTTTCTAAAATCATCAGCAGAACTCATGGAGCAAGTAGAGCAAGACTTCATCACTGTACTGCTAAGGTTGTTTAGTTTTGTTTTTTTCATATTAGCTAAAAAGATCAATGGTTGGCTAGAGCTTTCCAATTGATAAAAAGATTTTTAATGAGGCTTTGATTACATAACTTCTTTAGTAAATTTGTGCAAAGTATCTGTTGTAGATATGCTTTTCTCACTGTCTACAATCAGCATACAGTGGTACAGTTTTGATGCCACAGAAAAGTTATTGCTCTGCACAGTTTGAAAGTACCACCTCTATTGAAGGTAGAGCTTCTGCTGTGGAAAAGCAGAAATGTGTTTCTGTGAAACATTTTGGTGGTAATCTATAAAGGAAGAAGCACAATTTAAATATAACTGTTACAAAAACCTTTGTAACAATTTTTAGCTGCTGCTCTCTTCCAGCTTTTTTTTTTTTTTAACCTATCCATTAGTTTGATTTAAACTGTTTTGTATTTTGAGTCCCACAGTGGAGACTCTCTTAATTTGTCAAACCACCATGCAACATCCAAAATGACCAGTTTTTATATTTGTATAGGTTTTATTTTGATAGGGTGAATATTGTTCTTCAACAAGTTACAGTTTAGCACTTCAAAGCTACACAAATTTATACAAATGTATGGCATTATCTGCTCCTGTTTAATATGCTGAAATGTGATGATTGGTGAACCCAGCATAGACTTAAAGCTCTCTTTCTATAGAAATGCTTATCCGTAATAAAGGAGAGTGTTATCTTCTACATTTGCAGCCCCTTAGATGAAGAGGTCAAACCCTGACAAGTTAGAGGGGCAGATGTTGTTTGATGCATATGGCTACAGCAGGAGCACGCCTGGAGTCATGTGCTCTGCAGTGCATGTGCTCAGCAAGCAGAAGGGACTGGAGATTTGTCTGGGAAATCTGTGTGCTAAAAGTAGATGATAAATCTGTGATGAAAGGTTGACCGTTGTCTTGCTATGTAGATCACCATCTTTGGAATAAATAAATAAAAATAAAGCCTCTGTAGACATACCATGATAAACAGCCAGATGTTTTGTAACTCCTAACTCGCTGCTGCTAACATCTAAACAGTTTTCCATTCCCTTCAGCAATGAAAGCTGTTCTTTTGGAATGAGAGACAGTAAATAGTAACGACCATATTTGCCCAAATCGCAATGACCATAGTATTCTAAAAGCTTAGTCACTATTATCTTATTTTGCAAATGAAGACTTGGAGACAAGTCAAGAAAGATTTGCTCAACAGGGATGGCTTGCTTTAGCAATTTGTGTTCCATGTGTGCTGAACATACTACCAACTGAATAAAAGTTCACTAGCCTAATAAGAAGACCTGCATCTTCTTAAGAGATTCAGCTACAACAAATAAGAGCAATCCTTAGTGTTGTAATGAATATCCTTTCATGGAAGCCATGGTATGTGTTTTCCGGATAAATCCTATAGCAATGGATTATACGCCCATTGAATTTTGTTTTTTCTCTGGTGTGGGCAATTATACAGTGTTCTCAATCAGATTTCCTTTTTGATCTTTCACTGCATTTATTTCCAAATGACCCTGTCATTTCCTGTGTAGAATAAAATCAGACAAGAAAAGGGAAATGACTCAAAACTGAGTTAGATTATGCATACAATATCTATGGGCTTGCCACTTAACAAAATCTAAGTTACTTAAATATGGCACATAATTAGTGGAGCTTCACAGTCTGATTAATATTCTGAGTTTGATGCAGCTAGCATAATAAAGTCCAACTTTGTGAAATATAGACAGTATTTAAATCTTAAAAAAAAAGGAACAAATGACTGGCTAATTTAAATATATTTCTGCATCGGCTAAAGCCTTTAAATCAAACTGCCTGAGGTGATCATACTGCCTAGGAAAAAAAAAGGTTAACACTGAAAGAAATGAAAGCTTACTTAGATGATAAAACACACATCATAAATCTAACCTAGTTTGGCAGTCTTTAAAATTAAAAATTGCATTTCCAGCTATCAAATCCCTTACTTCTCCTTCACTCCAGATCTACAAAGACCTATATATTACATATGCACAAATACCAGTAAGAAAACACAATGGTACAAGAAGATAATAAGTTGTGTTAAGATTGCCAAGTAAATTCATTGCTTTTTTGTTTGTTTGTTTGTTTGCTGTGTTACTATTACGAGCGGTTCCCTACATTTAAATGGACAACAAAAGAAATAGAGCTTTACTGGGAAACCAAATTAAAATGCATGCAGGACTAACATACCGCAGATCTTAAAGAATGCTATTTTTAAAAATAATGTTTCTACCTTTTATCCTTTCTGGATGTTTTGCCCTCTAGCTGTGATTTTAGTGCTCTTATATTAGCCTGCAAATTCAAAGAAAACAAACAGAGTAAGACTAAATTTTGATGTGCAGGGATTCAATGGAGCAACACCCATTAACATGTCAGATCTTATAACAAATGTTTAAATTGTTAATACATGAATTTTGTAGAAGTTTCTATTATTTTCTATTTTCAGCTAGTTTATTTTGCTTTGATAGGGTGAGACATTTCTGCCCTTTTTTTTTTTCTTTTTCTTTTTTTTTTTCTTTTTTTTTTTCCAGATTTACAAATTGTATCTTATACTGCAGTTCATGTTTTTTTGCTGCTCTCCATTGTGTGTTTTTGGATGGAATGAGGCTAAGGTCTTCTGGGATTATGTCTGCTTTGAAACATTTCCTAATAAAAATAATGTGGTTGGTAAATCTAGTTTTATTCCTGGCTGCTTTATCCAGCCTGATGGAGTAATCTGCTATTTTATGGCCCAGATGACTAGCTAAGTTTGACTTCTTGAAGTAGTAGTGTACAATGTAATTTTCTTTAGAGATGTCATAGCGGGTCAGGTTGCAATAAAAATATCGAAGATTAAGTTTAATGGCAGTGCAGACTCAGTATTATAGCAGTCACTAAGTATCATCCCCTGTACTTACAGTTCCAAAACAGTTTCCATTAATGCTGTCTTTCCATGTACTCTTACTTTCTGAAACATTAAGCTTTTGGAACATATCTGGTCTTTACACAAATGTGGGTGGGTTTTATTTTGTTTGGTTGATTGGTTGGGATTTTTTATTTTTTTCTTGTTAGTTGATTGTTTTTTTGTTGTTTTGTTACCTTCTGGGTTTTAAGTTTGAACCAAAATCCCTTCCATCAGTAGGAAGAACTATTTGAAACTATATACTATTTGAAAGCAAATTAAGCTTTCTTCACGGCAAAAGTCCTGAAGTCTGGGACTTCACTTTGATATATAATTCTGATTTGGTGTTGCACATTTACTTTGGTTAACCAATCATTTTTTTAAACAAATTTGCTCAATGGTTCTTGAGAACTCCATTTTAAGGATGTGTGAAACCAGAACATTTCTATGAGTATCAGTTCACACTAGAGAGACCCATTCCCCAGCTAACAGAGTGCATGCTTTTTAAAGCTTGAAGGTTTCAAATATTTGTAATGCTTAAAAACCACAAAGTTGATTTACTGTAGCTTTGTTTTGTAAATATTAGCATAGCAAAGATATCAAGACTAGTTTAAAAGAAATAAGAGCATACCACTGGAAAGGACCTCTGCGATTTTCAGATCTATTGCTGCCTTCTCATAGGCAAACATATATAATCCTCTTCAGAAACATTTCTAACTCAAGCTTAAGAAGTTAACTTTTTTTGTCTCTGCTGTTACAGTTAGAAAACTGCTCTGGAGTCTGATTGCTGTAATGATTCCAAAACTTTTAATTTCCAGTCTAAATGTATTCACAGCAGACTTATACGCACTTATCTATATGCCAATTTGTGCCAGTATTGACCTTTAGATCTTGTTCGGTTCACAGTGTTTATTTTTCCTCCATATAAAGAGACAGCAATCTTATTGTCAGCCTTCATTTAGCTAAATTTGAAAAGCCAGTCTTCCCTAATCTCTGCTTTTAAGATGGGCTTTTCTTATATGCATTCTTACATACACAGCAGCCTTTAGTCATCCTTTGGTCATTTTCTGTAATTGTTCCACTTTAAATTAGTTTTGTTTGAGCATAAGTAACCAAACTGCACAGTATTATGCATAGTATTGTTACTGAGATAAAAGCAAGACCCTGAACAATGATAATACTGCTTTCTTTTTCTCTTTGGGAATAATCTACATGTGTCCTAGAATCAGTCACACATTTCGTAACTGTATCATGTGGCTCTCTTGTCGTAGATCTGCTATTCTGCTTTTCCTTTATCACTGTGTTTTCCAGCTGGGGTACTCTCAGTGCACTGCAGATTTTTAAAAATTGTGCCCCAACAATGTCACCTCACAATTTCTCATTAAATGCAAGAGTGAATATTCTTCAAGGTCATTCAGTCCCATCTGTATGATATTCCTTGCCTCCCATGCATTCATCGTGTCTCACACATTCTTTTTGTCTAGAAAATAGATTATCATATTAAGTAAACTCTGAAATTAGTCTGGCATCATGTATCTTTGATAAACCAGTGTTGTGTTATATCCCTTATATCCCATTTTTCTTTAATTTCCATGTCCTTATTTTTTTTTTCTTTCAAAAAGTGTTCCTCAAGCCTTTACTACTGTGAAGATCAAAACTACAGCTTCAGGAGTAGGTTTATTATTTTACGATTATGAATGTTTAAAACTAGCAAACTGGTACTTGGGCTTTTGATGTCTGAGGGAAAATTTTTGATGTCCACTAAAGAAGTGTGTCATACCAGAGACCTGAAATAAGCAGCTGGAGAGCCGGTGGTTTTGGTGACAAAAATAACTGAGATTTGGTCCTTTGATCTTGAATTTTGCTATGGCTATAACCAGAGGGATCTTGAAGGACTTGTGATTACACTGAACAAAAAGTGAAGTCTGTTGGGATTGTATGCATTATTACTTGAAGTATTTTAAGCATATCTTGCACATTAGAAACCTCTCTTGTTTTACAATGACTGAATTTGCTATACTTAGTTACCAGTACTGAAGATATACTGACCTTTAAGAGTTATGTTTTCGTATAGGTCATATGCTGATAGTCTTCTACAACTATTTTAACATTCCTGTGTTTCGGTACCTGAACTTGAAGCCAGGAGCAGCTCCAGAGAGAGAGTTGGTGGAATTTATAACCAGGTGTAGAGTCTCTTTGCAAATCTTGCTTTAGAGAATGATAAACAAAAGGCTTTTTAAATTATTTTCTTAGGAAACATCAAATACAAAACAAGCATGCTTTCTAATTCAGTTCCATGTAGGAACTCATGATAGTAAACATTCAGGCAGGAAAAATGCAGAGTAGATGTTGTGGGCTACGCTCTTCAGTGCGCAGAGCACTGTGGTTCTGACAAGCCAGTGTTAAAACAAATACCTCTTTTTGAGTACTTGTAAAATTTTATTTTGGTGGATCTATTCCTATACACAGAGTTAAACTGAGAATTGACTGAGGTCATACTGCTTGTCATTCTGAAGGATGAAAAGCTGAAGACACGAGAGCAAATATGTATATATGGTTTTGAGACTTATCATCATTTTTGTTTCAGCTGTATAGTTGTCAAAGCATTGCAGTTTTTATTGTATGATGTTAAATAGGAGAGGGAGGAAAAAACCTTAAATTGCTGTGGTGAAATGTTTCTGGAAATGTGCAGGAATTTACATATACACAGATGTGCTGTGTGGCTTTTTTAATTATTTAGAAAGTGACTCGATTTCTCTGTGTATGTGGGTATTAACATGCTTGGTTCTGATAACAGCAATAATGGTTTATTTATTTGTTGGAATGCAGGCCAAGTAGGAACTGTAGGCTTTGATTTGAAAGATAGAACAGCATTAAGGGCAGCTTTTTTTTTTTTTTTTTCCCTATTTTTTTCCCTTTTTTCCACTATCAGAGTGTTTTAAGATCCAGAAGACTAAGTGGTGCATTGAAAGACTATAACATGTTAAAAAATATTTATAGATGAGTATTTTTATTTATGTAAATGTAAGGCAATGAGATTGGCTGAAATGTAGACTTGGGCAAATTTTACGGTGCTTGAGCAAAGTACCTGAGGA